GTGTGTGTGTGTGTGTGTGTGTGTGTGTGTGTGTGTGTGTGTATGTGTATGTGTATGTATGTGTATGTGTATGAGTTCATCAAAGCATGCATGGGAAGTCAGGAAACAATTTGCCAGCCCCACAGTTACCACTTGTAAGTGGAAAAGACAAAACTTGAACTCAGAGCTGTGGGACACCAAGGCCCAGACCACTTCTGTGATCTACTCCTCTGCTCAGCACTTGAAGGGCACCACTGCATGATCTCAGTTTGAGGAGAGTCAGCAAAGACACCAGCCAGTGTTCAGGGTTTCTGCACATATAAAATGAAAGGTGTTGGAGAACCATGACAGCTACAAACATTTATTTATTTATTTATTTATTTATTTATTTATTTATTTATTTATTTGGGGTTTTATGAGACAGGATCTCACTATAACCCGGGCTACCATAGAACACTCTGTGTAGGCCAAGTTGACTTCAAACTCATATGAGGCAATCCTCCTGCCTCAGCCTCCTTCTGAGATTATATGCATGTGTCACCAAATAAAACCAAGGAGTTTTTAGGAGAACCAACAACGGCTTCTGGAAAAACAGGCTTGCCAAACTTTATACTCTAGTAGCCTTCACTGAAGGTGGTATCTGTAAAATAAAGTGGCTCAGACTACATGTGGCTGGATGGAGTGATATGGGTGGCTGCTGGATCTGTGGAAAGAGATTTTGGATTGAAACTACAGCAGAACTTTACAATGTTCCTGTGCTTCTAAAGTTACTGAGGCAGGTGTCACCTCTCAGACACATAGCAAAAGTCTTGTCTTAGGCCAGCTTGTCTCAGCCCAGACACTGCTCTCCTCTGTAAGGGTACTTTTACTGACTTTGGCCATGAACTACAGTGATCTGTGTTAGATGCAAAGGCACATTGGTTCAGAAGACAGAAGTCACACTCTGGTTTCGTAAGGACCTTTACTTTTTTCGACCTTAGCTTCCCCACCTAAAACAAAACAGCAATGGTGCCAATAATTCCCTCAAGGGCTTGTTGTGAGCATTAGAAAAGTTAAGGATGTGAAAGCTCATAGTAGGTACTTAAATACACAGCAGCATTTGTTAATATCAGTTAAGTAAAATGTCATAAGGGGATACCTTCTAAAACAGAGCAGATGAGTCTACCATTCCTTGCTGGCCCTGGACAGCCATGGCATGGTAAGATCACTTGCTACCTCTCTGCTGTGTGGAGCTAGAAAGGCCACACAGGGCATGGGCCACTCAGTCCAAAGGCTTCTTCTCATGCTGGGCTCTGCCCACATTCTGTCTGCCTCTATTGAAATGCTGCTTGTCAGACCTGGTGGCTCACGCCATTAATCCAGCACTTGGGAGGCAGAGGCAGGTAGAGCTCTTTGAGTTTGAAGACAGTCTGGTCTACATAGTGCAGTGATTCTCAACCTTTCTAATGCTGTGACTCTTTAATACTGTTCCTCATAGTGTAGTGGTTCCCAACCATAAAATTATTTCGTTGCTACTTCATAACTGTAACTTTGCTACTGTTATGAGTCACAATGTAAATATCCGATACGCATGATATCGAGTATATGACCCCTGTGAAAGGGTCATTCAACCCCCAAAGGGGTCATGACCCACATTTTGAAAACTGCTGACATAGTTCGAGGACAGCCAAAGCTACATAGGAGACCCTGTCTCATACAGATAAACCAAGCTACTTGAGAAGAGCTGGACACAGCCAACGGCCCTACCCTTGCTTACTTTCTTGAACAAGGCGATTTGCTCACTCAGAGAAGAGAGACTACTCTACCTCCACAGGTCATATTGACTTCTAGGTTCTCACCTGTCCCCTCAAGGGACAACTGTGCCAGCTCTCTGCTAATCCAGGACTTCAGCATCTTTAGAAAGAGTGGGTTTCAGCCACACTGGATGGACTCTGGGGACCCTCCTCACCAGCAATGAAGTTTCAGCCGCTCCTGACCTTTGAGGGTCACATGGCTGGAGTCGATCGTTATAGGGAAGCTGATGCAAGAGGAGGCTGGAAGGCAGGAATTCATCAGAGTCCAGAGGGTCTGCAGGCCCAGCACACATTTTACACTGAAGGTAGCAGCTTGGAATGTGTCGCCTTGGGATGAATTATCATTTCCTTCTCCATTCTACTTCTAACCTCCTCCCCCAGTGTCCCACCAGATTCACTTTGTACCTCTTTGCCGTAAGAAGTAGCTTAAAAAGCAGAGTGATACAGCCTCCATTAACGTATCTCTTTCCTGTCAGCTACCTAATTTGTTCTCATTGTAGCACTTTCATCTCAGTAATAAAGGCACTTCCCATTTCACAGATGAGAAAACCGAGGCTCAAAGAGGTTGAGTGATTCATCCGGGGTTCTATGTTTAGTAAGTGGCGGAATCTAGACAGGAGTCTAATTTTCTAACTTCTCCCCCGTTACACTATTTGCTTTGTGAGAGGAGGCTTCTGGAGTAGCTTAGGTGAAAGGGAGTCAACCACAGACCTATCATCAGGACACAAATAGCGTCCACTTTACCACATTCCCATAGGAACTGGAAGCATCCACTCCAAAACCTGGATTTTACTTGCATATTAGTGACAATAATAATACCTGTTGCTCTAGGTCACTGAGGGGACTGAAGAAAATGTTTATCTCAGTCTTCTCATCTGTGTGGGGGCTCAGAACAGCATTTGGCACACAGTGTGTGCTCAGTAAGTATTCCAGTAGTTTTGAACCACCCCGACACAGCATGTCCACCACTCTCAAAAGCCACCATCTCCCAGAGGACATCCAGTCTATACCTTCCTAGGTACATGTGCTTCATACAGATGTAGCCTCTGCCCTGGCCCTGTGTTCTTAGATCAGTCGGACTCGTAACTAACTGTACATTGTGCTTATTTACCTTGTTAATTTCATTTACTGTTCACCATTCCTTGGGGCAGTGATTCTCAAAGTGAAGCACGGGTCAGTCACTGGGAGGCTCTGTAAGGTCTGATTCCTGGGCCCCTTCCCCCGGGTTCTTGAATCTCTAAGTCTGGATTGGGGCACCAGAACTTCTATCTCAAACACACTCATTCCCAGGTGAGGAAGCTACCAATGTGAGAGTATACTGTAAAGACGAAACCCACAAAAGTCTGACAGATAAAATGTGGAGTTGTTGACGGGAATCAAATTGTTGACATGGACAACTAGAGTCTCTCATGCTCACGCCTGCTCTCTATCCCTCGCTCTTGCTCTCAAAATCTTGTTTCTTATTACTCTCCTAAAGTTTAAGTTCAACCTATGGGGTGGGCATTTCTATTTTGTTCATTGCCCCAACACACACATAGAACAGAAGGAACTCAGAACTATCTGTGGACTCCGAACTGGACTGAATGAATTAATGTGTAATTTGCTAGTGCCAGATGCACTCATTCTGGCCCCTGCAGTCTTGTTCAGGCCTCTATGGCTGTTCCTCCCCCCAGGGGCTGCACCCAGCCAGCAGCACATTGACCATGACTGCTTGCTCCCTAGATCATCCCAGCGGCCTGCAGAACCACCCTCGGCTCCGGACACCACCGCCACCACTCCCCCACGCCCATACCCCCAACCAGCACCACGCGGCCTCCATCAACTCCTTGAACAGGGGCAACTTCACCCCCAGGAGCAACCCCAGCCCGGCACCCACAGACCACTCACTCTCCGGGGAGCCCCCAGCAGGCAACGCCCAGGAGCCAACCCATGCCCAGGACAACTGGCTACTCAACAGTAACATCCCACTGGAGACCAGGTGGGTCCCAGTGGACCAAGGCTGGGAGGGTAAAGGGAGGGTTGGGTGGGCAGAGGGTGGACCAACCAAGGTGTAAAGTCTATTGTTGGCCAGGTCAGCAGGGAATGTGTCTCTGCCGCCTATCACTTTAGAGAAGCTGGGATGAAATGCCTTGCCTTGGGCTGGGACTCTCCAATGGTAGGAGAGAGCTGTGGGAAGCTGGGATTTTAGAATCCACTGGAGCTGAGGTCCAGTGCTAGCCTGCTGCTTATTAAAGATATGATATCAGTCAAGTTGATAAACTCATGAACATCACTGCCCTGTCTACACAATGGCAATGAGGCTGGTTGGGCAAGACTTTTCATAAAAATAGGCAAGAAACGCACAAAGGAGGCAGGCACAGGTTTAGGATAAGGCGGGCATTCGGATCCACTTGGGATGGGTCCTCAACTCAGCCAGCTGTGTGTGATTTCACTGCTCTATGCCGAGCATCAGGCCTATCTGGACTGTGAAAGGTGCTCTTTGAAGGCCAGTCTCCCCTTCCGTTCTTGTTTCCTGGTCTATTGACCCTTCTGTACCCAGAAAGCCCTTAAGGTTTTCCCATCGGCATCGGTAGCATAGACTTTCGTATGGTGATTCCATGTATTCTACACACTTTGATGAGATGAGTTTTCCCATGATGGCCTCATTCAGGAGTTCTGGAAGTTGAGACTTAGCGAGTTTGTGACCAGCTCAGATCACATAGGAGGTTGATACATGGCTAGGACTCAAACCCAGGGTGCTAGACTCTCTGTCCAGTTATGTTGCCCTGTGGTTCATTCCCTTCTTCTGGGATTTGCCATGCAATGTTTCCTTCAGCCCAGGGACTGAGGCAGGCTGAGTTCTGCAGCCATCCCCTTCCCCTGTGCTTAGCCACTGTATTCCAAATTGTGTGTGTGTGTGTGTGTGTGTGTGTGTGTGTGTGTGTAATTATGAAACCCATGCAGCTCACTTAAGAAATTATAGGAAGATAAAAGGAGAATTAGATCATCTGTAATTCTACCACCTGAACAGAGCACTTTTGGCATGCCTCTCTCCCTGCTTTCTAAATCATAGGTGAAGTATTCCAGGCTGGTCCAACAAATCTTCTACCCTCTCTCTTAAAGAAATGGCACACATAGGTTTTCTTTTCCCAAACTCCTGTTCTTTGTGAGGAATACAGAGACAAACCACATTTGAGGAAGGGAAATTAGCCCACACACAAAAGGTCCACCCACCTGCCTCTGCCTGGCACAGGATGATCATGGTGATGGTATTGGCACATTGAGTATGTGGGGTCTGCAAGAGAAAAATTACAATCCTTTGGTTACATTCTATACTTGTGGAGTCATTTTTCCAAACCCAAGTTTCTCAGAGATAAGAGCCTACCAGGGCCCCTCCAGTGTCTTAATTATTACCATTTCTCTTCACATCTTCTAAAATGCCTCTCTTGCCCTCATCAGTTACAGAATGGATTCATTGTTGTTATCCCACCCAAGGTAGCCAATCAAGTCTCCATTATTTTCAGTGCTTATTGAGTGGGACATGGCTGATGGAAACCAGCACCTAATCAGTGGCTCTGGCCATCTGCATGGATCATGGATGCCATTCTCGCTACTTGGAAGTTCGTTTTAGAAGCAAAGTAGGACTTCCTCCTGTGAGTCTGTAAGTTTCTCATGGGAAAGAGAGGCAGGAGAAGGGCACCAAGAGAGGCTTTCCAGATGGTCAATATGTGATGTAAAGGTTGTCCCAACTCACCTCCCCTGCCCCATCAGCTAGAACTTGCCTGCCTTGTTGATCCTCTGTCCTCCTGTCTCCATTTCTTAGAATGAATGAAACTGGGCTTTCATCTTTCATTATCATTCAGATAATGTCCATCATAGAGCAGTTAGTAAATAGAATAAGCAAGAAGAAAAATACCACTTCAATCTACCAAAAGGTGCATATAGGCATGCACACCCTTTCATAATTCATCAGTATACATGCTGCATACCATTATTATATATAGTTAGATTACATACATATATTTAATATTCAGTGTACGCATGTAGCCCTCTCCAAGTCTATGCTCTTCCGGGCTTCTGCACAGGCCTCTGCATGCTGCCACTGGTTACCTTGTTCTTCACTTCTTAGTCTAGCTGAATCCTACTTAGTCCTGAAGCCCAGCTGAGTAGCTGAAGAAGGCCTCCTCTGTGTCTCCAGAGTTCTGTGCATCTGAGGATAGCCCACCAAACAAAGAGTGGTACCAACTCTGCTAGATGACACAATCAGAATTCTGCATGTTAATGTTGACCTTACCAGGCTGGTGGCACCAGACTAACAAGATGAAGTGGAAGAGAGAGAGAGTTGCAGAGTTCAGTGGGTGGAATCAGTCACTGAGCATCAGGAAAAGGTTGTGGACTTTTTTAAGTAGATGGGCATCCTCTTACGTTGGCTTTCAAGCATGCTGAACCTTTTGTGTGACATATCAAATAAGTTCACACTTGAGAACCATACAATCAAGTTAACAAAAAAAAAAAACAGACAGAACAACCAACCAACACACACACACACACACACAATGCTTTAGGTAAGTTAATGATTTTGTGTTTGGCCACGTTCATAGCTATCTTCAGCCACATGAGATCTGTACGTTAAACATAACTGCCGGCTGAGTGAATTATTCAACATCCCCAAGCCTTGATTTCTTCATTGACAGATTAGGATATAAAATTATGCTTTTCAATGAGTTTGGAAAGAAGCACATGTAAGGAACACACATACAGTGCCCAGCATCTAGAAACCACACTGTAAGAGCTGTTCCCATATTTTCATAAAGCTCTGCTTCCATATGTCAACGCTCTGAAGAAATAAGTCATTGAGAAAATATCCATGAGTCCCTACCCAACACAGGAGTGAAGAGGAGTGGGAAGGGTCTGTCCCTTCACTGCTTTGCAGAAGTGTGGCCTGGTGTCCTGAGGATATGGCAGGCCACTCACCATCTAGAGTGTTTCAAAGCACAGTCCTCAGGGTCAGATACACCCCGCCCCCCCACACACACACTCAAATTCCCACCCTATTGCTCACTAGTGGACCTAGACCTTGCGAATTTTCACTCCTGAAAACAATAGTGATTTCTGGTTCCAGTTGCTTATTACTACATGACAAATTCCTCCCAACTTAGTGGCTTAGGAAACACGCAACTGGTTCTTCACAGGGGAAGTCAGGAGGTAGAAAGGGTTTGGGATACAAGACTCTTCTGCTCCACATTGTGTTAATCGAGTCAACTGATCTTTAGCACCCATCACATGCATTTCACTTATCTGTGGGGACTCCTTCAGCCCTAAGGTGCCTTGGGACTTCTGCTTATGATCCTCTGAACAGGACAGTTGTGTGAATCAGGGTTCCAAGATGTTGAGACAAAAGCCATTGATCCTCCTATAAGTTGGGCCTAGAAATGGCATAGTATTGATTCTGCTTTGTTTTCTTGGTTGAGCTTGTCATGGGCCAGTCAAGTTCAAGCTCCACTTCTCAGTGGGAGAAGTGTCAAAGCTTTGGCAGCCATCTTTAACCCAGCATCCTCCACCAACAGGCTTTTCTTTTTAAAAAATTTTATTTATTTTTAAATTTTTTTCACTTTACATATCAATCCCAGTTCTTCCCCCCCCCCTCCTGCCCCCTTCCATCTCTCCCAATTCCACCCACTATCCACTAAGTTGAGGAAGGACTAAGCCCCTCCCCCTTGTGTCAAGGACGAGCAAGGTGTCCCACCCTAGGGAATGTGTTCCAAAACGCCATTTCATGCACCCGGGATAAATCCTGGTCCCGCTGCCAGGGGCTCCCCAAACAGATCTAGTCACATAACTATCGCCCACATTCAGAGGGCCTAGTTGAATTGAAATATGCTGTTTTAGGGGCTCCACTAATTCACAGTAGTACTTGTTATCTGTAAACACAGCAAAGAAAACAGCCCCTTGCAACAGACTGTCATGGCAGAGGAAGCTGGGGGATGCACTGTGCTTTAATTACTGCGGGGTCCCCAGCACATGGCACAGTGTTTGCCACAGCATGGTAGGGCCTTAAAATATGAACATGCAGCTAAAAAGAGTGGAGTGGGGCGGTGGTGCACGCCTTTAATCCCAGCACTTGGAGGCAGAGCCAGGCAGATCTCTGTGAGTTCGAGGCCAGCCTGGTCTACAGAGCAAGATCCAGGACAGGCACCAAAACAACACAGAGAAACCCTGTCTCAAAACAAAACAAAACAAACGAAAAGAGTGACGATGGAGCACATGGGTGACTAAATATGTTTAACTGAGACATGAGTGGGGAAAGGGACAGCCTCCCAATGGCCCCAGAGCCATGTGACTGAGATGAAGAGTCAGAAGTCCTGAGGAAGGAAGTCCTGAAAGAGGAAGATGAAGAGGCCCAATAGAGCCAGTCCCTCTTGACAGGGTGTCTCCAACAGCTTTTGCCAATACCCAGGAGATTCCCCCCCTGTACCCCCCCACACACACACACCCTTACCTCGTTGTTAAGCAGAGTCCATGCTGAGAAGCTAAGCTCGTGTGCAGATACCATAGCTGCTGGAAGGGTGACCAAGAGGGATTATATTTCATCCTGGCAGAAAAGTAAGGCAACCAGAAGGATGGACAGTGGGAGCTTCCGGGGGGCTCGTTCCCTTCTTATCCCCTGTACCTCTTCCAATCCCCACGGTTAACTAAGTCCTCCAGGGAGGAGCCTGGACATACTTGGGCTGCCTAGACCTGGAGTATGCCCTTCAGGAGCGTCTGTGGTTCTTCTATGTGGAGCCACGTGTTGAAGGTCCCCCAACCTCTGATCCACTCCTTTGACACGCGGTGGCATCAGCATTTAATTGATTTCACAGGAACTGGCTGATTAATAACCCGTCAAGCTCCCTTTGGATGAAGGGGAAGCCTAAACAGAAGGCTGCCAAACCTCTGCTCTGCCTCAGCTCATCCCAGGACTGGGTCAGAAGCCTGGAGCCCTTTTGTGGTCATACTGAATTTGAGAAACCACCTCTGTGACCTCAGGGACGAGGGCTACCCTGTGATCTCTAGGCCAACCCTACTGTGGTGAGATGGGCCTTTCAGAGGTTAGCTGCAGCCCGGAAGAGCTGGGGTTTTGTTTGTTTCTTCCCTTCGTTCATGTGTCTGAAGACCAGGGGCTTAGCTGGCTCCTCAGGAGTCACTTGGCTGAGTCACTGACACCTGCACGCCATGGGGTGTCAGCTGCAGCATGTAGGGTATGGCCCCTACTGCCCTACACCTCTCAATGGAGATGACAATCAGATGGGACGATGGCCGTCCCAGGGCTTTGTGGACAGAAACAGTCCAGCACAGTGGCTCATGTAAGCACTCTGACTGTTGGGTGAGGCCATCCTGAAGACCTACTTCTCTTGAAGGTCAGGGGACTTCCCTTCCCAAGACCATTTGTTCTCCCCTTTTGAGGCTAATTCTTCCCGCCCTGGATCACACTGGTAGGTCTGGAAGCCTCAGCTTCAGGCTGCTGAAGGACTCTTCTGTGTGTAAAGGGGACCAAATCCCTCCCCATTCAGAGAGGGTCTCCTGGAGCAGCGCAGCACTTGCCTGCCAGGCTCCCTCTCTGGCACAGCAGAAGTCAAAGACACCTGCTTTTAGTCCCATTCCTGTTGCTTCCTTTCCTTAGGAACCTCAGAAGTCTTGCCAAGCCTCAGGTTCCGTAACTGCAAACGGAAGTAGAAACACCACCCACCCTCGAGAAGATTATACCTTGTCATAAGTCAATCATCCATACTTGAGCTGCCAGCAGGGGTGAGGAGGGAGCTGCCCCAGGGGTGAACAGGGAGCTGTCCCAGGGGTGAGGAGGGAGCTGCCAGCAGGGGTGAGCAGGGAGCTGCCCCAGGGGTGAGGAGGGAGCTGCCAGCAGGGGTGAGCAGGGAGCTGCCCCAGGGGTGAGGAGGGAGCTGCCAGCAGGGCTGCAACCCCAGGTGGGCACAACAGCTTGTGATTCTAAGAAAAGCGCTAGGAACCTTTTATTTCTCAGAGGAACGGGACATCTAAAGTGTTGGGGGGGGGGGTGTTGTATAAAATTTAGGGAATTCATGATCTGGGAGTCAGGACACCCATGACTCAATTTCTGCTCTGCCACTCACTGACTTGTGTGGGTTTAGGATCAGGATACAGGTTTCCCTGGACCTGTGTCTCCTCATCAGTCCCACAAGCCAAATAATTTGACCCAGAACTAAACAGAATTTGAAAAGTATAGCGTAAGGTTCCCTGGACCTCAGTCTCCTCATCAGTCCCACAAGCCAAATAATTTGATCCAGAACTAAACAGAGTTTGAAAAGTATAACGTCAGGCTGTTTCACCACAGCAACAGCAGTCCGAATCAGCATCACTTTCAGCCAGTGCGTGTGTCCCCCACCCCCCAATCCTAAGTGACGTAAATGACGAATGCCCGAGTGAGCTGGCATGCTAACAGAAGCACTTTCAGAAGATCCATCGCTGTGTAGCTTGAGAAATCCTTCATTCCGTTCCATTGCCTGTCTCCTTCTCTTCCGTCTCTGTGCTTTTAAGTGACACTTGTCAGCTCTCTCCCTTTCCAAACATGTTTCTTTTTAAATTGTAAATGTTAAAATAGGGCTGGAGAGGGTTCAGCTAGACAGGCGCTTACGTTCCAAGTGCGAAGACATGGTGTGATCCCCAGAACCCACATAAAAATTCAGGGTGTGATAGTACACGATATAATCCCACTGCTGGGAAAATAGAGACAGATGAATCCCTAGAGCTTACTGGCCAGCCAGTCTAGCCTAATTAGCAAGCTCCGGGCCAGTGAGAGACCCTAGCTCAAAGAAAAAAAAAAGATGAATGATGCTTAGGGCTCGGCACCCAAGGTTATCCTCCAACCTTCTGATGCACCAGCACACATGAACATGCATACAGACACACAGATTAAAAAGAAAAATCACTTGATCTAGGCACTTGAAATATCCTATCATTAACATTTTGAGCTTATTTCTTGGCCTTTTTTTTAAAAAAAAATTACATGCTTATTTGTTTACTTTGTGGTGATTATGAGGCACAGGCTTGATTCTCTGGAATGTAGGCCGATGCCAAACTCGTAAGAGTTCCCAGAAACAGGCTGTGCAACCAGCATCAGTGCAGTAAGGCTGCGGAACTCTGGTTAGGTCCTCTGAGCTGACACTGTGTGGCCTCCTCGTGCAGGGGGAGATAGGATGAAGAGAGACTAAAAATCCTCCTCAAAACAAGAGACTAGAGGAGATAATAATAACCACCGCCTGCTGCTGTCTCTAGGCACTATGTGTCTGCCATATGCCGCCGGGTAGGCCTCCTTCTGCATATACCGAATCCAGCAGCACTCAGCTCAGATCTATTTAGTGACTACATGTATGTAGCAAGCCGTCTTCTCCTCTAGGCACATAGCAACAAGCCGGACATAAAGGACAACTGCCTTACAGAACTGGAATTACATGGGAAGAAACAAACTAGGCAGACAAGCATCCCTGTATTCCCCATCATCATTTCCTGAGATCTTACATGATGGCTTGACACAGTGTGTGTGCGTGCGTGCGTGCGTGCGTGCGTGCGTGCGTGCGTGCGTGTGTGCGAGCATGTGTGTGTGTGCGTGTGTGTGTGTGTGTGTGTGTGCACGCGTGCGTGCGTGCGTGTGTATGTGTGTACTAAAGCAGTGCAAGGAGTCAGTGAGTGGCTGGGGGAAAGATGGGGAACTGCTGGAAGCAGGTGAGAAGCCACCGCTGTGGAAGGAGGTATGATGTCTGGGAATATGTACAGAAGGACAATTCAGGCTTAGCTTGTTTGAGAGAAGCAAGGAAGCCAGTGTATCTGTACCAGGAAAATGACTTTGAAGGAGCAATCCAAACCAGATCTTGTAAGATCTCTGGGCCTGGGAAAGACTGGGAAGGGTTAAGTGCAGAGAAAAGATCCACACGTTCACCTCTGGCTGTGTAAGTGAGCAGTTACCATCCTTTGATGGATTCTCCGAGTGACTATCTGCCTAAGGCGGAGGAAGGATGCAGCAGGGGGGCTGGAATTCAGATCTGCCTTGTTCCTCGGGCCTCTCCTGGACAGTGCTTACTGCCGACCCCTGCACTCCTCCCAGGCTCTGGGAGCCTCACAGCAGAAGATCCCGGTAGTGACGGCCCAGGCTCTGTTTTGTGACTCTCTGCAGGACAAGGCCCACTAATGCCTCATTGTCAATGTCCTAGCTACAAAACGGTATCACTTTGTACTCCGCTGTCCTTGGGGTGTTCGTGGCGTGGGACCTCCAGATGGTCCTTACAGTCTCTCTTTGGTTGGAGGAAGTGGCAGGCAAAGGTCAGACTGTGTAGAGAGCACAGAGGTGTGGAGCTGAGGGTCTGAGCTCTGGGCCCTGACAAACCCGCTCCAGGACGAACGCTGCCACCTCTTCCCCGTGTGATCCGACCTCAGAAAAGTTGCCTCTCTGAACTGTGTCCCACCAGCCTGAAAGGGGAGGTGACAGAGCTGGCTCCATAGGAATAGGGGTGTAGAACAAATGTAAGTCAATCCCAGAGCTCCTAGAGCAGCAGCCCATGTGTGGGGCTACAGGATAAGGCAACCGTCCCAGTTAGCATCATCTCAGCGGACCCCATCACAACCTATGCATCTTAGTGTTATAATCACCAGGGTGCAGCAAGGATGATTAAAAGAAGTTAAGATTTTTACCCAGACTCCACCAGGAAGTCCTTGTGCCGGAGTGGTCCATTCTACAGCCCAGTAAGAGGTAGAAGGGTTCCTTGGCGGTACTGGAGCCCAGAACTGGCTTGCTGCCGTCCCTCCTCCCTCTGGTATGTCCTACCGTGAGGCGGCAGCAGTCCTGAAACCAGCTGGAAGTGGGATCCAGAGCACTTGAGGGGCAATGGCATCACCTAGCAGTTGAGACCCAGATGGCTGTCTTCATCCCGGGGCACAGTCAGGTGAATGCATAAGCATTACCCTGCCCTCATGGGTAAAGATCCCGCCCTATGTCTTCAGGGGACTGTCTTGCTTACTAATCAGTTACCACCCAGTTCTCACACAAGCTGAAGGATGGTGAGACTCCAACCAGGTCCTCATCCACAGGGACTTAAGAAAAATACAGATTCTTTGGCCCTATCTCAGGGCACCAATTGAGTCCCTGGGGCTCTGCTAGACCCGAGCAGGGTACGGCTTTCCAGAATGTTCTCCTTCTTTAGAAGACAGTGGCCACAAGTGCTTGGTGTTCTTGTGTCTTCAGAGAAGCCAAGTGGGTGTTTCCAGATGCTGCTTTAGCAGATGTGGAGTGAGTCAAGGAGAGAACGTTGGGCTTTGGATCCAGATAAACAAGTTCAAATTCTTGCTTTTGAACCTTGTTGCTGGTGACCTTGGCAAGTCCCACGACAACTCCATATCCCAGTGTCCTCATCTGTAGAAGTGGGATCACCCTGACTTCTTTGCATAGCATCTATTTTGAAAATTTGAGAAAATGGATAGAATGTGCCCAGCCCGCTGCTGGGCACCTTCCAGTCCTCCTGGCTGAGAACCGGAGTTGGATGCACACAGCTTCCAGCCTTGCGGGTTTGTATCGAGTGCTCCCTCTGGATGCTGTGTGCCAGGTGGATCCTTTGCACATGTGGCTTTGCACACTGACCTGTTGCCTGGAGCCTTTGTCCCCGCTGGTCTCATGCACAGCCGCCCGCACCCGACAGCCACTCTTCCTTTGTTTCTATACTACCCCCTTCATCGATGCATGACTCATTGCCTCATTCATGTCTCCATGTGTGCGTAGAAACCTAGGCAAGCAGCCCTTCCTAGGGACATTGCAGGACAACCTCATTGAGATGGACATTCTCAGCGCCTCCCGCCATGATGGGGCTTACAGTGACGGGTAGGTGGCACCCCCATGCTCCTCCTTTGTGTGTGCTCTCCTGGTCGCTCCTGCCCTTGCATGCAGACCCCTGAGACCTTTCCCTGGGAATGCCTGGGGGAAGGGATGCCATGTTGCATGTACATCCCCAAGTCCATGTTCAACTTGCAAGTTTGTCCTTGGAATACCCTGCCACTCCCTACTCCCCACCCCCAGCATATTAACAGCCGTCTTGTTAATATGCAGTCCTCAGCATCTCATCGGCTGCCTTCGCCATTCTGGAAATCATCTCATGTAGCAATTTGTACACAGCACAGGCCCTGTGTCTTATGTATTCTGGCTTTGAGTGTACACTCTGTGGTCTGAATGTCTTCTACCCTAGGAGGAGTGGGTTTGTCCTAAGATTTCAAGGCTGTGTGGTACAAGTCACGAAGTCCACCCAAGATTTGCTTAAGTCCAAGGCCATTTGCATGGCCATGGTTCAGGTCACGTTGTGCAGGATTTTTCAACACCTCCTCTGGCCACAACCATGTACTTTGATTATACTCCACTGCCTTCAAGACTGCAGCTGGGCTACAGTGTGGAATTGCCAGTCTTTCCTCCACATAGCTTTCACATGGGCTCTGTAGGCAACAGCCAGGCTCCTGAGGCTGTGAGGACACTGTTACCAGCCATCCACTCATGGGCAGAACTTAGTAGTGACTTCTTGGCTTCTACCCCAGCAAAGCCTCATTTAAAAAGAAGGGCTTCCAGCACCTTACCAAGGTATACTGGAATGCAGGTATTGGAACAACAGGAAAAAAAGTAAATACCAGTAGCCTCCAGGAGACAAGCAGGACTTTAGACACTCCCTGAGCTATTGTAATGACTGTAGAAAACAGACCCCACCCCCCACCCCAGCTCCACTGTTCCCAGGAAAAGGACTTCAGGGCAACCTTTGTTGAGTGAGTCGTGCGCCCGCCTTGGGTGGGTGTTCCTGTGGGTAGCACTGTCCTACTAGTGCTCTGTGGAAACGTGTCTTCTTGTGCCCTGTCTGTGGTCCAGTCTGTGATTTTCCTGACCCTGTCATCTTCCCTGTGATGATTCTTTCTCTCTCTCTTTCTCTAGGCTCCTCTGCATGCTCCTTCTTCCGCGCCTCTGTCCTACAGGTTGGCCTGGGTACCTGGTTATCTGGCAGACCCTGACACCTTCCCGCCTCTCTCCATCCACAGGCACTTCCTCTTCAAGCCAGGAGGCACCTCCCCGCTCTTCTGCACCTCATCCCCGGGGTACCCTCTAACATCTAGCACCGTGTACTCGCCCCCACCCCGGCCCCTGCCCCGCAGCACCTTCTCCCGACCAGCCTTTAACCTCAAGAAGCCCTCCAAGTACTGCAACTGGAAGTGTGCAGCCCTGAGTGCCATCGTCATCTCAGCCACACTGGTCATCCTGCTCGCATACTTCGTGGGTAAGCACGTCCATCCTCCCCACCCCCCAGC